TGATGAAAGACTTCAGGTGTGCTTGCTTCTCCACCGCCGGTTAAACCAGAGGACAAGGAGACGACAGCCCAAGTCCATTCACAACTCTGACTGGCGACAAAAGATGCACATTCCAGTCTGCTTCCGCTCCAGCTCACAAGCTCAATCCCAAGGATTTTCCCTTTCAGGAAGGAGAATACGAGGCAACAATATCACCTCTTTTTAAGTGAGCATGGAGTAGGGCGGAGGAACTCCTGTCAGTTACTCTTTGGGACATTGAGTCAGAAGGTGTCTGGTGTGAGCGCAGGAGGGGTGAGAACGTTTCAGGTTTGGCTGCTCAAAAGGGATGGTTGGTTTCCGTTTTAAGGAAATTCACATTTAAAGTAGGCATTTTCTGTGTTTTCCGTGTGGATGGGCGTTTTCTAACAAAGCTCACAGACATCACTCCTGGATCAGAGAATCTTCCTAAAATGCCAGTCATTAACAAAGATAGAACAGCATCTTTAGCTCCATGGAAACCAGCGAGGAGCTCGATAACGAGCCCTTACAGCTGATATCTCCCATCTCCTTTATTGTGGAGATGTACTTCAGAGTGACCATCAATGGAAACACTTCTTATTACAACACAAACATAAATCCAGGGCCGTTAGACAACTCAAGCAAGAACAGATTGTTGTAAGGGCCGTTCTCTCTAATGGCGTCTGCTCAGTCTTTTGGAAGCGAACGAGAAGATACGAGGACAAATGGGTGCCGTTAATAAAAACAGTTCTCTGGGATGTTAAGCGTGACTGGCGTCACAATCATTCGGTGTTTATCTCATTTTCGAGGCTTCTTGATTGTGTTTGGGCATGAAGCGCAGACTCGTACACATGCTGCGTGGAGTGTGGACATCCAGGCGCTCTCGCTGCTGCAGGGACACACTTCAGTCTGGAGTGTCTGGTCCGAGCAGCTCTGTGAGACCGGGAAGGGTCGCTCTAATTAGAGGGGAGCCTGGTGCAGAACATCTCTATAGGGCATCAACAGGACCCTCTTTGGCTTTGTTCAGCAGCCTCTTCTTCCACTGAGGCTGTCACTTTAGCTTTCTATGGCGCTGAGGGCCAGCCGAGCTCCTTAATGGTGTTGTTTGTGCCCAATCACTGGAACCGTTTATGGATAGTTGCAAATATGGCCACCAAATAAATAAATAAATAATTCTAATAAAATTTCTGAAAGAGATTCTGCTGCCAGACCCGTTGTTTTATGTTTTCAAATTAAAATCCAGTGTGTTGATGTAGAACAGTGAGTTGAAAAGCCCCAAAACGTCCTGGTGGGACGCATTAAAAAGGCACTGCTCTGCTTTGTTTTTCTGGCTGTGCTGTCACGGTGTTTTAACGTGTGATTATTTCCAACTCAATTTTGCATAGAAACCTAATTATTCATTGAGATATAAATTAAATTCCACATTCACGGACACGGCGAGCCCCCTGACTCCTGCAGGACACCATTCAAGCCTCTTTCTCTCCATCTCTTTTCTCTGCAGACCATAAGCTGGAGAGAGAAGCCTCTGCAGCTGCTGCTCACATCAAACAGATAATTGGTAATGAAAAGTCATTGCGTGACATGATGTTGTTCACAGGATCATTGTTCGTTTCCCCCCATTGCCACTAAAATCTATATGAAGGACCTGAGTGTTTTGTTGCCAAGGAGCTAATAAAGAGGTGACTCAGATTCCCCTGCAACAGAGAAAAGTTTGTAAAAAAGGTGTCGATGTAAGTGAATTGTGTTTTAGTTGCCTTCATCGCAGTTTATCATGTAGATAACAGAGCTAAGATTCAGGGACACATTTGTATTTTCACAGATTAAACCAGGTGAGTGAAACGTTTGGATGATGATGTTTTGGACGCTGGGAGGTTCGAACCTGGCAGGATCAGATTTTGGCCCGGTTTACGATGGCTGCAGATTTCTTCTCAATAACAGGTTGAAACAGACCAATTTATGAAGTTATGGTTGTCTGGACTGAAATGAATAATCCATCAAGTGTGGAATTAATTGTTTTCTAATCAAATTGTTGACTAGAAAAAACAAAAGGATATTTATTGGTTTACCAACAAACAGTGAAATGAACTTGCATTCACCCGGTTTCTAAAACACAGCAGGGTCCCCGATGGTGCCCATCGCCATGATTACCAAACTGATCAAATTTTATAAGTGGAAGTTCTACACATCCATCACGGTTGGGATCAAACTCCAAAGCTTGCATTGTAAACACTGGTAACACTTTATAAAAATGGTCCTTTTATTAACGTTACTTAGTGCGTTATTAAGCATTAATAAACACAATAAATATTGTTAACTATTACATGTCCTTAATATTAGGTCAAAGGGCAAAGGGGTGTGGCACCTGCTTAGTAATCCATCCATCCATTTCCATCCGCTTATCCGGAGTCGGGTCGCGGGGGCAGAAGCCTAAGTGGAGAGGCCCAGACTTCCCTCTCCCCAGCCACTTGGGCCAGCTCTTCCGGAGAATTCCCAAGGCGTTCCCTGGCCAGGTGAGAGACGTAGTCCCTCCAACGTGTCCTGTGTCTACCTTTAGGCCTCCTACTGGTTCTGCTTAGTAATGTATTACTTAATAATAACATCAACATTAAGCTGTTGTTAATACTTTATTTGATAGTTTATTAATGCTTAATAATAAGCAAAGTGACATTAATAAAGTAGCCGTTATGGTAGAGTGTTGCCAAAATATTTATTTGCTATAAAGTGGGTCAAAAATAGTCAAAACTCCTGAACTGGTCATCAGCGTTGGGCATGCGTCCAGGTCAGGGTCTCATCAGAGTGGCAGGTCTGGAATTCTGAGTGAATTTTAGAGATACTCCAAAATTACAAACTACATCTGAATAGTTCTCTGAAGTGTCAGGTTAATAGCGGAGCGGATGTGAGAGACACTAGCAAATGCTTTATGGGCTTTGTGGTCTGGTGTGAGGATTTTTTCTAAAGGAAGCTAAAAGAGGGTTTTGCCCCAACTAAAATATTTCAACCAGAAAAACCACCATGCAGCGTGTAGCCCTCACCAAAAACACAACCTGAGCTCAAAGAATGAAGTCAGAAATCCTGTGAAGGGGATCAACTTTGTTCCCTTTTCAGCGTCAGTGCTAGGTTTGTGAATAGACTGGTGATTAATTGCCTATCAACCCGATTTGAAAAGGGAGCTCAAGTGAAGGGGAGCTGCTGCACCATAAAGGGTGCACATCACTGGAGAGAGAGAGAGAGAGAGAGAGAGAGAGAGAGAGAGAGAGAGAGAGAGAGAGAGAGAGAGAGAGAGAGATTATTTACCATTTAAACAGTTTTAGCACACAAGCTCCATTTGCTGCGCAGACACCTTCACCAAAGTACACCGAAGACTACTGGAGCCTGTCATCCCGAGCAGAATAAAGAGAATCCGAGGTTTTTCCCTTAAATGGACTAATTTTCTCCTTGAATTATGAAAGTAATGGTAACAGCCTGTGCTCAGAACCCGACGGCTTAATGCATCCTAAATCCTTCCACGTGGCTCCACTAGTCCCGGCAATTAGGCCTCATTATAGCCTCATAAAGGATCTCATTTGTGGGATTACTTAATAGACAATGAAATTTTTATCTCACAGAATTATGGAAAAATAATATCAGAGCTCGCGTGGTGTGGTGAGGGCGCGCGCCGCGCATCATTCCGCTCGGTTTGCTCGCTCTCCTCATGCTCTCGCTTCCTCCCGCGGTTTCAGATCTGTACCACAACAAGTGCGCGTCTTCCCTGTCAAAGACGGAATTCACTTTATTAGAGCAATTACTGTCCGCGTGACAGGCAGGGCCATTTCAGGATGGTTGGATTTTAAAGACTTTCTGATTCTTTAATGATCAGACTCTCAGCTGCTCCGGTCATGCGTTTAACCACAGATAATAAAAGGTGTATCAAACTGGGACCTTCTCCGTGTTATTATTGTGTGTGTGTGTGTGTGTGTGTGTGTGTGTGTGTGTGTGTGTGTGTGTGTGTGTGTGTGTGTGTGTGTGTGTGTGTGTGTGTGTGTGTGTGTGTGTGTGTGTGTGTGTGTGTGTGTGTGTTGTGAGAACGCATTCCTGTTGTGTTCCACTTGGAGCTGCCTGCACCATAAACCCGCTACCGGCTCTCCTCTGAGGCTCTAAGGCGTTATTCAGTAGATGAAAGCAGAAACTCAAACCCGCCGTTGACCCGCCCGAGGATCAAACTCGCTAATTATTGTCACAAGATGAGGGATTAACGCATTTCTGAAATAGCTGCCTGTTTACCCCCGCACAGACCGACCATTATAAACGCTTTCTAATTGAATCCTAATCGCCGTCAAATAACCGCAGCCCAGACTCGCCATCATAATTCTTTAATTGCTGGAAGTGAAACCTGGACCAACCGGATTCAGAGAGGAATTACGCTGCTGGGTAATTAGTGCTTATATTGTCGCGTGAATAAGTCCCGAAAGCGCATTTTCAAAAAATAAAAATAAAAAACTACAAAAATGATTAAAATAAAAAAGGAACAGACTGTTGAACAACAAATAAGAAACGTAGGCCTGGAGGAAGTCCATCATGAAGCATGTTACTTATTAAGCAGTTATTCAAAATGCTCATTCTACTCAAACTGGTGTTATAATTTAATCTCAAAGGACTGTTTAATGTTTATTATTAAAAAGAAAACTTGAATCATGTATTTGGTTGAATATTTTCGCAGCGAAGCTGTGTTCCTTTTCTATTATTCTTGTTTTCTTTCACTAATAATAGAATCACAGCAAAAACAGAAAAATAAACAAAACCAAACAAAAACTTTTTTATCCAATACGTTTTTGGAAAACCAAACATCAGCTTTGCGTGTAATTAACATGTTCATCCCCCCCCCCCCCCCTCCCCAAACTTGACAGAAAGACTAAATTGTCAGAATGTGATTGGAGATGTTGAGGAACATCACGTGGTTTGGGTCACTGACAGCATAAACCCGGAGCCGGGTGCGCACGTGGGTGACGATGCAGGGCCAACCCTCTTCGGGTGCCTTTTGTTGAACCATCAACATAAGCACCTTTGGAGATCCCGAGGGGCTTCACACAAGAACCAGCCGTCATCTCGCGCACTGAGCGACCACCTTTCAGCGGCGCAGCCATGTCTAAATCATTTTACGTAGACTCTTTAATCATCAAGGATCCGGTGCGACCCGGACCAGCTGAGCATCCGGGACACGACTTCCTTATTCCCATCAGCATGCACTCTCCGGGCGTGATGGCAGTCACAGCTCCGGTGTGCCCCTCCAGGAAAACGGGGACTTTTTGCGTTTGCCCGCTGTGCGTGACGTCCCACATCCAGTCTTCCCGCAGCGGGATTCCCATTCTGAAGAGTCAGTTTCCAGGAGTGGAAGCGCAGTTTTGCCAAAGGTTATCCCAACAGCAGTCTCCTGCGCTCGCGCATCCGGGACACACACCTGTCTGCACACCCACCTTCGGCGTCACAGATCCAAGGAGGTACCACTGTCTCTCAGTTGGTAAGCACCTGCTTCCACCTCACCACCTGTGTGCATACTTGGACGCAGGCGCCATTACGCGCAAATCAGCGAAAATGAATGATGTGGCACAACTTTTACGCGTAACAATTTACGTGCAGTTAGTTTATGTATAAATGTTTAAACTAACGATTTTCTCCTTTAGGCGACTCAGAGAACAACCACATACAGAACGGGAAGAGGATGCGCACGGCGTTCACCAGCACACAGCTCCTGGAACTTGAACGGGAGTTTTCCACGAACATGTATCTCTCTAGACTCAGAAGGATCGAGATCGCCACGTACTTGAACCTATCAGAGAAGCAGGTGAAAATCTGGTTTCAGAACCGCAGAGTGAAGCACAAGAAGGAGGGCAAAACCACTCAAAGGAGCGCGCAAGGCGGGTGCAAGTGCACAAGCTCTCACACGGACTATTCACGGTCAGAGGATGACGAGGCTTTATCTCCGGCCTCTGCAACGGAGGAGAAGGTGTCCCTCATTTAAGAGAATACACGAAAAAATAAAATAAACTCGATTCCCTCGAGTCCCACTGCTGGCACTTATTGCTCTTCCCTGCATGCTGCAGATTTAGGTCCCGGCTTCACGCCACGTCAGCGCCAAACAAACCTGCATGAAGTCCGAAAAAGCTCCTACATGTTCCCTCTAACTTAAAATCATGTGATTGTATGTTTGTGGAATATTTGGAGACATAACGTTTGTGTAAAACACTGATGATGTGCTGTAGTTCTGGATCTTTGTGCATATGTCCAATTTTCACAGATTATCCGGTAAATATTGTCCATTTTTGACTGATCGAAGTGTTTAAAGTAAAACAAAATCTTTAGAGTTAGACATTCTACACAGTCATAGTAAACAATGAGTATCTGTATTTATTGTATTAAAGTTGACGAGTTTACCCCAGAATTTGTCAGTACATTTTATCGTTGTCGTGACTCGAGGTAAGTGCTTAACCCAAGACATGCAGAATCATCACACGTAGTCCAAAGGTCTTTATTATAATAACGGTGACTGAAACAGCAGGGAAGTCCTGTGGGGATGAGCAATACGGCTCGAGTCTCTGAGGTGCTCAGGATAATCAGGAGAGGAGGGGAAGCCGGGGAGGACGCTGGGCAGAGGGTGAGAGATCCCGGAGGGGTGAGGTAGCAGAGGGAAAGCCAAACAGGAACGGCGGAGGAGGATGGGACATGATGAGTATGTTCCAGAAAACGAAGACAGCAAGGGTGAGTAGACGATGATGATGATCCTGAGCGAGACAAAAACAGGCGTAAGGGATAATCCAATTCCAAATCCAAAATACAATCCAAGGTCATAAATCCACCAGTCGAAGGAGAGTCAAAACACGAGTTAACAAGATCAAAGTTCAGAGTCGAGCGGCTGGTGCTCCCTAAACTGGTGCAATCGTCCGGCAAAGTGAAATGTCTCCATCCTCCTTTTAAACCCGCGTTCCTGGTCTGGGAATCGCCTGCAGCTGTTGCTCCCTCTGCTCCTCACCTGTGGAGGATGAACTCAGACTCTGGTGAGAGGAGATGGTGTGACTCACCTCTGCCCAGGAACATGACACGTTTATGAGCATCTGAATTTGACAAGAAAAATAATATTAATAATTCATTGGTAAAGTCATCAAACGCATCACCAAAATGAACACAGAGACGAAAATTAGCATAAGAACATTTTTGTAAAAAACATATAATAATAATAATAATTATTATTATTATTATTATTATTATTATTATTATTAAATTGTTTATTTATTTATATATTTGGAAACGTAGAACTTGTCTAATCAGAACACATCCAGGGATTTTAATATGACTCAAGCAAGTAAACCTTTATAATCAACTCAGTACTTGATGAATTATAAATATATTTAATTTAATAAGCTATTTTAACAATCACATGTGAGCTCAGTCCTTTTATTCAATTTATAGCACTCATTTAAAAAAATCATATTAATGAATCCCGTTTTATTAATTTGTCATCAGTACTTAATTCAAATCCTACTTTTATATTTGAGAATGCTGCAGGACCCGCGAGGGATTTAATCTATTAAACACAGAATAGATGGACCGGGTTTAATGAAAGTGTAGCAGCAATCTCTTCTTAGATCTGACCACAAAAGGGTACCCGATAGCGCCCCCGCGGAGCAGCCAATCGTTAATGTTCGCTTGTGAAAAGATTTCACGTCCAAGGCGAGTTTAATTGCGTTTTCGGTCCCACGTTGGTTGATTATGCTGCTGTTCGCTAAAACCACGGAACAAGGATATATAGAAGTGGGCAGAGGCTTTGACAGGTTAGATTGTCCTGCCTTGGGGCTCGCATTTAACCCGGGACCCCCGACGGCTGCGTGCTCAGAGAGCTTTGAGGGGCAGCTACGGGGTTCCTCCGAGCTACAGAGAACGATTTAGTCACTGTTTCATTAGGCACTATTTGAACCTTTCAACTTATGGTGAATTGAAGGGGACATGCTCAAATGGATAGGGATTAGGTGGGAGGAGCCACTGGAAATTAGCTGACGCCCAATTTAACTCGTTTCTGTCAGAGTTTGGGATACATTCCTAATTGAGAGGGGAAGCAGGTGAAGGTTTGGTCCCACGCAGGCCCTTTCAGAGACGGGATAAATGCTCCTCTTTCACATCCCGCTGCTGATCGTATATCACCGGGGGAAAGCCATCTAATGAATATAGATTGAAGTTCCTATTAATCGAATTCGTTCCCTCGCAGGTGTGGAGGACCCGCGCAGAATTTAGAGGCATCAACGCAGGAATAAACCGCAGTTTTAGTCCCACGGGACCTGAACTCGACCGCTGGTTACTTTGGGACGTGTAGGGGTCAAAAGCATCTCTGACAAACTCATGGATTAATATCCCAAATCATATTGCTGTTAGTGTCTGAGAACACGCTGGTGAAGGGGTTCTAATTTAGTTTCAAAAACGAGTTTTACCTGCTTCTGGGTAGAAAAACAAGGGCACTCCAAAGACGTTTGACCACCATTGAAAACATGGCAATTACGCATGAAAAAAGGCAATTAGTAGGAGCGCTTTTCAGCCTCTCGCAGCTGCTGTCTCATGCGGAGAGATGGAGCCTGGGAGAAGCTGAAGTACCCGAGAGGATGAGGGGGGAACGGCGTTGTCTCCCAGAGAAAAGCTCCACTTTATTACTGGATGGGTGCGGCACCCATCTAATCCCAGACTGCCAGGGATTAGCAAAGTTTCTAACGATGCCAGAAAGGTTTTCAGCCTAAAACCATCAGAAAACTGAAAATGTGAAGTTCATGTGTGGATATAAAAAGACCAATATGATAGGTTAAAATGTTTGGCTTCAGGAGTTACACACACACACACACACACACACACACACACACACACACACACACACACACACACACACACACATATTCCATCCATCCATCCATCCACCCAATTTCAGCAGTTTACCCAGAGTCGGGTCGAGGGGGCAGCAACCTAAGCTGAAAGGTCCAGACCTCCCTCTCCCCAGTTGGGCTAGCTCCTCCAGGGGAATCCCAAGACATTCTCCGGCCAGCCGAGACATAGTCCCTCTAGTGCGTCCCTTGGGTTTCTTCCCAGTTGAATACCCGGAAAACCTCACAAGAGAGGCGTCCAGGAGGCATCCTAACTAGAAACCCGAACCACCACAACTGGCTCCTTTCAACATGGAGGAGCAGCGGGTCTACTCCGAACCCCTCACAGATGACCAAGCTTCTCACCTTATCTCTAAAGGGGAGCCCAGACACCCTGCTTACTCATTTCAGCCACTTGCATCCACACAATCTAATTTTTTCAGTCACTATCCAAAGTTCGTGACCACAGGTGAGGGTAGGAGCGTAGATCGACCAGTAAATCAAGAGCTTTGCCTTTCAGCTCAGCTCTCTCTTCACCATGACAGATCAGTACAACACCTGCATCACTCCAGATGCAGCACCAATCTGCCTATCAATTTCATGTTCCATTTCACCCTCACTCATGAACAAGACCCAGAGATACTTAAACTCCTCCCCCAGAGGAGACAGTCAAATGCCTTCTCCCAATCTACAAAATACATGTAGATTGGTCGGGCGAACTCCCACGCACTCTCCAGGACCCTCCTAAGGGTATAGAGCTGGTCCAGTGTTCTGCGGCCAGGATGAAACCTACATTATTACTCCTGAATCTGAGGATCGACAGACCCTCCTCCCCAGAACGCCAGAATAGACCTTACCAAGGTGGCACAGAAATGTGATCCCCCTGTAGGTGATGATATCTGTAGCAGTAGCTCAGGAGGTAGAGCAGGTAGTCCAGTAATCAGAAGGTAGGAGGTCCCTTGGGCAAGGCACTTACTGTAACCCGTCTTGCCTGCTGGTGGTGGTCGGAGGGATCAGTGGCGTCCGTGTTCAGCAGGCCTCGCCTCTGTCAGTGCGCCCCAGGGCAACTGTGACTACAATGTAGTTCTTCCCCATCAGTGTGTGACTCTGACTCTGAAAGGCTCTATACAAGTTTGGGTCATTCATCAAAGTAAGATAAACTTGAATTTTATCTAAACCAAAGTACCATTATTCAAAGATACACGTAATGGAAGCTGTTATTTATTTATGTATTTATTTATTTGTTTGTTTAATTAATTATTTAGTTATTTAATTATTTATTTTATTTATGTGTGTATTTATGTATTTATTTATTTGTTTGTTTGTTTATTTTATTTATTAGTTTGTTTGATTATGTCTTCATTTACTTGATAGATAGATAGATAGATAGATAGATAGATAGATAGATAGATAGATAGATAGATAGATAGATAGATAGATAGATAGATAGATAGATAGATAGATAGATAGATAGATAGATAGATAGATAGATAGATAGATAGATAGATAGATAGATAGACAGACAGACAGACAGACAGACAGACAGACAGACAGACAGACAGACAGATAGATAGATAGATAGATAGATAGATAGATAGATAGATAGATAGATAGATAGATAGATAGATGATAGATAGATAGATAGATAGATAGATAGATAGATAGATAGATAGATAGATAGATAGATAGATAGATAGATAGATAGATAGATAGATAGATAGATAGATAGATAGATAGATAGATAGATAGATAGATAGATAGATAGATAGACAGACAGACAGACAGACAGACAGACAGACAGACAGACAGACAGACAGACAGACAGACAGACAGATAGATAGATAGATAGATAGATAGATAGATAGATAGATAGATAGATAGATAGATAGATAGATAGATAGATAGATGATAGATAGATAGATAGATAGATAGATGATAGATAGATAGATAGACAGACAGACAGACAGACAGACAGACAGACAGACAGACAGATAGATAGATAGATAGATAGATAGATAGATAGATAGATAGATAGATAGATAGATAGATAGATAGATAGATAGATAGATAGATAGATAGATAGATAGATAGATAGATAGATAGATAGATAGATAGATAGATAGATAGATAGATAGATAGATGATAGATAGATAGATAGACAGACAGACAGACAGACAGACAGACAGACAGATAGATAGATAGATAGATAGATAGATAGATAGATAGATAGATAGATAGATAGATAGATAGATAGATAGATAGATAGATAGATAGATAGATAGATAGATAGATAGATAGATAGATAGATAGATAGATAGATAGATAGATAGATAGATAGATAGATAGATAGATAGATGATAGATAGATAGATAGACAGACAGACAGACAGACAGACAGACAGACAGACAGATAGATAGATAGATAGATAGATAGATAGATAGATAGATAGATAGATAGATAGATAGATAGATAGATAGATAGATAGATAGATAGATAGATAGATAGATAGATAGATAGATGATAGACAGGTCTGATTTCAGCACCATGGACAGTTCCATCCATGTCCTCCGCCCACAGCAGCCTCTTGTCTTCTTCGTTTACACGTTTTGTCTCGCGAGATAAGAGGGAACATGACAGAAGAAGCAAATGACATTTTAAGTGGTCGCTGCAGAACTTTTGAAGCTGAGTAGATGAATGACAAACGACTGGAATGTTGGATGTTTCTGTGATTTTCTCCAGATTGAAGTCTGGTGTAAAGCTGTGTGCGCGCGTGTGCGTGAAGAATGACATGGCTGCATGTTTGAGTGCAGTCTGTTAAACACCAAGCCCCCTGTTGGACATTTGATGCAGCAGCCGTACAACACACGACACAGGAAGTATGTCCCTACTGAGTCTTTTCACAGGGGTTACGTGTAATTTATTGATCTTAGGGTTGCATTTCTGAAGCAGTTTACCTGGCTGGGTGTAGTCTCTCAGCAGTGAGGCTCGATTGTAGACATGCCTGGGCATCAACAGTTGAGATCCTTTGTTTGGAGAACAAGGACACTGCTCTTTCCCCTAACATGTGGAAGTAATTGCAGCAAGCAGTTTCAGGAGTGAAGAAGAGAGAGGGGTATTACGCATCATCAGCCCCGGGGCCCTGCTCCACACACAAACGCCGGTCTCATACCTCAACTCTGCGCCAAGATAAGTGATTGACAGAGGTCCATTTTTCATCTGCTGCCCATCAGAGGACTTGAGGGGAAAGTTTTATGAATGGCTAAAATGACTTGGAAAAGCAGCTGTAAACATTTATTTTTGTTATTTTGTTTAGTGACACAAAGGGAAGGACAGACACTTTCCAGATGCTTTTAGTTTTTCTCTTTCTGTAGTAGAGCCGTGAGACAGAACCAGAGTGGTTGTACTGTGTTAGAGCGCCCTCTATGTGGATCACTCCTGCAGATTTTCTGTCTGATGCCCAAGAATGCTCTCCTCACTGCCACGCATATGCAGATAAGTGATATCCTTTAGGGCAAGTTGATGAAACATGAAGCTTTGATGAGTTCCTCATTTCAGATAAAAAAAATCTTCAAACAACTTTTGCCAGATTTAAATCAGTAATTGCCCATTCTTTGCAGAATTCTTCCAAAAAGACTTTTACTTTGAAAAGAAGTCCAGCGCTCGCGGGGGGGTGGGGGGTGGGGGGGGGGGGGGGTGGGGGGGGGGCATTTCCTGAGAGTTATTTACTTAGAGCCAGATGATTACTCTTTTTTTCGGATGGGGGTTGAGAGGGGAGGACTGTAACTCTGAGTCAGTTACAGGTTTCCGTGGCTGCAGCGCAGTTGTGAAGGCGGTCGTGGATGCGTTCAGAGGCTCGCGCTCCTGCTCACAGCGCAGGATCTCTAAGGATTATTACCGCTGCAAAAGGACCCTTATCACGCCGTGTGGAAGGACGCATTCATTCTGGATATACTTACAGTAATTTAATAAAAAGAGGGATTAGTTCAAAGGTAATTGAAATATCGATTTTCATTTTGAGTTTTAGATTTTTTAGGACTGAGGAATATTTTTGAGTTTGTTTTTCGCTGCATTTATTTGAAATAAATTCAGTCAGCTGGATCTCCTTTTACAAAAGCTTATTTTACACTTTCTATTCACCAAAACCCGGAGCACCCTGTTGCGCACAACTTTTTTCAGGATCTTCGCACTGAGACGATTTTAGCGCAGACTATTATCATCTCCGTGCACCATATGGTCTCACCCCTGGACGCCGAGCGGGGAGATGGCACTCTCTTTGCTGGATAAAAGAGCTTCAGTTCGGCCCAGCTGGAGGTGTCACCTCCATGCCTGAAGGCACCATTATGGGATGCTGCCCGGTACTTAATGAGAACCACATTTTGGAGTTTTTTTTTTCTGGTCTGAAGAATTAAACTGGAAGCTTTGGTGAGATGAGGCGGAATGGAGAGCTGTAATGGAATTGATCCAAGAAAAAGGGGGAAAGAAGAGCTGAGTGTGTTTTTGGGAGCCATAGTGCATTTTTCTGTTACCACCTACCCCACTGTGTCACCAGAGGGGTCTTCGGGAGAAAGCTGCAGTGGCCAAACTCCCCCAACTTTGTGTATTTGTTCTGTAGTGCGCGGCTTTCCGTGTGCTTGTTTTGGAAGAGATTATGGAAATTAACTAGTTTTCGTGCTGAATTGCACATCTGGGAGTTTAAATCATCTGCAAAGCTTTTGTGTTGTTGTTGTTGTTGTTTTGACATTCGCATTTGGCATTTGCACTTTTTTAAAGTTTTGAAGAGCGGGGCGCTGATATAAGCGCGGGATGCGCACTTTTACGCGCAATGGAATTCTTAAGCACAACCTCCCAACTAATGTAAATACATGAACTAAGTCAGTTAATCTTTTTAGGACAATGCGTGTGCGCAAAAACGTTAAAATGCTTTAGGCGCTTTGTGTCTGCGGATTCCCACGCGATTGTGTCGTTCTGTGTGGAGTGGGTGCTAATTATAGAGTTAACAAACCCAGGCCACCAATGGATTATTCAGACTGTTTCGGCTGAGCCAGCGCGGACAACCACAGGAAACAGAGACGGGGCCTAGATATTTGCTGTTTTAGGGACACAGAAGAAGAAACTGCGCGTCCAGAGAACCCAACCCAGAACTTGATCAACTTTGGAGAGGCGTGTTCGGTGGAATGGGCCAGAGCACATCTGATTGGAGATGGGTTGGAGAGCCTCCGATGTGTGGTCCTGGTGCAAAATTTGGTCCAGATAATTCAAAATGACGGATTAGACATTTTATTATGATGTCCCCTTACAGACTAAAAATAAACAAGTATAGACGTTTTCTTGGCGGTGGAACGTTGGCATCATTCAGAGACCCGATCATGTGATCATTAATTTGATTTGGTGATGTTGTAAAAACGCATAAAAGCCACTAAACTCGAGTCAAATAGAACAAACGTGCGATTGGAAAAATGAAGGCATCAAACTGAGGCGAGAGGAGGATGGAGAGCTCCGGAGGCTTCACGCACATGAAAGGTGGACTATGTTGCCCTCTACTGGCTACTTTAGTGAGCTGCAGCAGGAGAGATGAGATGCGATGCCTTTCAGCTCATTTCAACTCAGTTTGATCATTAAACGACTTTTCACAACAAACTCCAGCTGTAATTTAAGCAGACTGATTGGAATATAAAAGCTCCAGTAAGCAAAGTTTTAAGGCAGAAACCTGCAGCAGATCCAGAACAGGCTCACGACCTTCTGCAACAACCAGCTGGGATTTGAGAGGATAGGAAACAAACTTCTACTGAACAAACTGGATACCGCATGTGCCTCAAACCATCATCTAAAATGAAGCAGATAAATAAAGATGCCATCCATTCTATTTGATGTACATTTAAATTCTCAGTCAAGTCCTGATATCAACTTTCACTGAGTTTAGTGATTTAACTGTGGTTTCATACTGTCCATAAAACAAAAAAATGGGACGCTCCTCATACCTAAAATGTTTTGTCCTCATAGGTCTGAGCATCCATAATCATGGATGGGATGAAGACGTACTTCTTTGGGCTCATCTTTGTCGTGGTGGTTTCAGGTAAGCATCTGAAACTCAGCGGTAAATTGGTCCTTTCATCCTGACACTTTCTCTAACACAATGACCCAACCGTCTCTGCCAGTCACACCTGGACTGTCCACACCGACCATCTGGCCAAACCAGGACGAGTTGTTCCTGCAGCCCAGTTCTCCCATCAACATCAGCTGCACTGGGGACAGAGACGTGGCTTGGCTCGAACCCCTCCCTGAAGATGCTGTTGTTATTTCAGAGGGTTTCTCTTCAACTCTCTTGATTCCCAAAGCAACTGTTGAGCACACCCGTTTTTATGAGTGCACATACGTAAACCAGATTGACATAGAAGAAGAGCATGAGGAAATGGCGTACATCTACATCTTTGTCCAAGGTGCGTACACATATCAAATGAACTGTGCAGACCTCTCAGTAAAAGGATAAAAGTTAAAATATAAGAGCAAGACTATTGCAAAGAGAACCTCTTCCCATTCCAGATCTAAATTAAACATTTTATAGCATTTAAAACAAAATTATTAACATCACAAAAAATGCTAAATATTCACAGAAATGAAAAAAAAATTACATATTTTTAAAAATGCAGATTTTTACTTCTAAATTATTCCAAAAATGCTAAATGGTTTGATACAAACCACCTTCCCTCTCTACATGCAGATCCCCACATCCCCTTTGTCCCAGAGACACCGGAAAACCTCATCATTCCCCATGACTCTTTTCGGGTGATCATCCCCTGCCGTGCATCCCACCCGACTGCTTCTGTCATCCTGAGGAGCGTCCCAGCCAGAGAGAAGATCAGCAACTCCTACGACTACAAAACGGGTTTCATCGACAACCTCCCTCCTGGGCAGTACCAGTGTGAGACCACTGTGAACGGCCAGACGTTCACGAGTGACGTCTACACTGTAAAAACCGAGGGTAGGCTCATAATAAATCAGGTCAAATGTTACAGTTTGGGTTCTTGTTAGATGATGGCGCTGGTATCTCCTCTGTGGTGGTCTCTGTAGAACTTGAGAAGGTTGAGGACTTTGAGGTGGAAGTGAAAGCCAGTGAAGAGACGTTAAGGGCTGGCCAGCCTCTCAACATCACCTGCATCGCTCCGTCTGGATCAGGCTTCCAGCAGCAGTGGGTTCACTCGAAAAAACAGGTGGGAGGCCATGATCTTTCTTCTGCCCGTTTCCTTTTTCTCTGCCGGTGCTTAACATAGTTAGTACCCTTTTGGGTGTTTAGCTAAAAAACGGTTGTCTTAAGGAGGATGTCATCCAGTCAGCTGGCTGCAGCAGGTAACCCCACATCAAAGCCAGGGATGCTGAGGCTCATGACAACTAGCTCAAGGGAAGGCAACAGTTCAAACGGTGGTGAAAAACATTAAAAAACGAAGGTGACTGGGAGACATGCAGGTGCACCTGAGCATCTAAAGCTTTTAAAGTGTTGGTTTCAAGGGTAGTTCTTCCTGTAGTTTTCTCAGACCACTGCAGCCCATTGCTGTGCTTTTTTCCTGCCAGGGATTCCTTTAAGACCTTTTCCAGAGTTAGGAAAGCAGGAAAGCAGGAAAGCTGGACACCTAACTCCTGGCTTTGGTCTCAGCTGCTTTTAAAGGACTCTGTGATCCTGATTTCTCTCCTGTGGCTCCTGTGTGCGTTTTAGTCGTTAGCATTCAGCCTTACCTGTAAAGCAGAAAATCGCTGAGCAGCCAGATTTAAATATCACAATATTTTAATTGTCTATTTTTAAACATTAAATCTTAGCTAATGAAAGCTCGTGTTATCATTTGTTTTTCTTGTAGGCTGTAAATGCAAATCAGATGAAGCAGACAGCCCCTGACTGGGTGATCTACAGCCTCAGCATCCCACGAGCCGCCGCTCAGGACAGCGGCGTGTACGAGTGCTCGGTCACACACACGGTCAGTGGAAGAACCAGAGTCAGCAGAGTGGCTGTGACTGTTTTTGGTAAGTCTCTCTGTCAGAAATGCTTTTCTGAAACCTTTAACTGCTTTCCATCAAGACAGTATTAGGCTGCTGCGTGGAGTGATGACTTACAGTTACATCATCATTCAGGTGCATTAGTGCAGTCACACGTGTGCACACGCTGGAAATAAGTTCCTTCCATCCAGCCACAACGCTGGAATTCTGCTTTTCACATCAGCCGCTGGGTTTTAAGAGATGACCTCAACAGATGTGTGTCGGGCCTCCTTTTCCCCATGGCACTCGCCATCACCCCACCTCGTTCTCCTCCTCTCAGACCCCTCTCTTCCCTCTCCTCGACGAGTCGGTTTCTTGATGTCAGTAATGATCTGATTAGTGTCCTCGTTTTCTTTTTACCCAGAAGAGAACTCCTTTTTGGCTCTGGACCACAGCGGGATCCTCACGACGGAGTTTGTCAGCATTTTGGAGGAGACACAGTTCACCATCCTGATTAATGCCTATCCAGCCCCTTCAGTGTCATGGCTGAAAGATGGCACGGCGCTGTCAGAGAACTACTACGTCTCCTCTAATTTAAGCCGCATTGAAGGGAACCGGTGAGCGAATGATAACTTTTATTTGTTTAAAGTAAACAGGAAGCTAAGACTCTGTTAACAGAAAATGAAAATGTTATAGTTGTGAAGGTGTTTTGTATCTGGTCTCCACTCTAAGCTAGCTGATGTATTCATCATTTTTATTTTCCTCTCACAGGTATGAGAGCACTCTGACCTTCCGGCACCCTCTGGAGAAAAACAGCGGGAATTACACGATCAGAGCTTGGAGCGACTCTCACACAGCCCAGTTCTCCTTCCTCCTCAAAGTGAGAGGTGAGATGAGTACATACAAGTCTTTGTGGTTTAGGATTCATGACTTATGTTTGAACCCTCAATGTTTTGTCTTTTTCAGCTTCAGCTGGATTGATGATCTTACCATCCTCAGCCCCGGTGCTGCTGCCAAATGTGGATGAGATGGTAGCGCCCCTTCACACCGCTTTTGTCTTGACGTGTCGCGGGGCAGCACATCTGGAGTGGGAGATACCGCACACTGTTCTGGAGCAGACGCAGCAGGACAGCAGCGGCCTGTATGTGACCTCCATCACCGTGGAAAAAGCAACGGCCATGCACACCGGCTACTACATCTGCTTCTACACAAACGCCACACACCACACAGAGGAGAGCAGCATCTACGTCTACGTTCCAGGTGAGGAATGAACAAGTACTTGAGTAGTCATTTGCCATATTTCTGGTTTGGGTGACTCATTATGCTCCATCACAGATCCTGATGCCCCCTTTGTGCCATCACCTTGGTCTTTCATGAATCCCGTCCTGTCCGACCACGAGGAGATGGAGATTCCCTGCAGAGTGTCTGACCCAACAGCACACGTGACACTGCTGAACGTTGACACCCAGCAGCCTGTGCCTTGTGTTTATGACAGTAAAAGAGGGGCTTTGGGGATATTTACTGCTGGAACCTACGTCTGCAAGGCCCTCATTAAAGGAAAGGAGCACTACAGTGAGGAGTACATCGTTCACGGCTTGATAGGTGTGTGCTCCAGGGTTTCTATGATTGTTTTATAAAATATCTTTGAAAGATTTGGTTCCATGGGCCACTGACTACAAAGTCATCCTTAAAAATGTCATTACTTGAACCAAAATAAGATTAAGTTAAAGTCCCATTAGTCACCATCACACACTGGTGAAATTACATCTCCACATCTGACCCAACCCTGTGGGGAGCGGTGACCTGCGGAAGTGGCTGCGCTCAGGAAATATTTGGTGGTTTAAGCCCCCAGTCCAACGTCTTAAATGGTAAATGGCCTGTATCTTATGTAGCACCTTCTAGAGTCCTGGACCCCCCCATGGTGCTTTACAACACAATCAGTTGTTCACACACACATTCACACCCTGGTGGTGATGAGCTACATTGTAGCCACAGCTGCCCTGGGGCACACCGACAGAGGTGAGTCCGCTGTACACAGGTGCCACCGGTCCCTCCGACCACCACCAGCAGACAAGGTGGGTTAAGTGTCTTGCCCAATGACACAACAGCAGCGACAGTCTGAGCGGAGTTCGAACCTGCAACCTTACAATTACGGGGTGAGCGCTTAACTCAGCGTTGCCCCTTAAAGCTGAGGGTCAAGTGTGGAGGTATTGGGTCTCATTTTTGAAGTCTTTGGTATGACCCAGCCAGATTTGAACCCTCATCTCCCAGCCCCAGGGCAGACACTCAAATCGCCAGGCCACTGAGCAGCTAGGAAATCTAGCTGTTGAATGTTAGAGTGCATTGCTTTACGGCTGACACCCCAAACAAGCATGCATTTAACTGATATTGCTGATTCTGTCTCAGGCACATTGCACGTTGAACTGTCAGCCAAAAAGACAGCTCTGATGGTTGGGGACACCATCGTTGTCAACTGTCTGGCTCGAGGACCTGAGATGTTAGAAGACCACTGGAAGTACCCAGGCAAGCTGGTGAGGATGCAAGTCACTCTTTAGGGCTTTGTTTGTAAAATAGTGTCGATCTCAAAGTGCTTCATGTACCAATTGTGTTCGACAGGCTAATCGCGGCAGCAAAACCGTTAAAGAGAACAGGAAGGCTCAGGAGATCCTGTACACTCTGACAATCCCACAAGCTTCAACCAAAGACAGCGGCGTCTACTCCTGTTCGCTCACTGATATAGTCTCTACTAAGAGCCAGACGAAGGAAGTCAACATCCAAGTGTTTGGTATGAATCGCTTGTTTCTTTACTCAAAACGTAATGTTGTATTTTTTCTTTAACTGATGATAAATAATTGCTGACTTTTCCTTTCCAACAGCCAGTGAGGTCATGTCCATCCAGCCAGAGTTTAGGGAGTACGAATCTGCAGAGCTAGACGAGGTGCGGGAGTTCAAGGTGAAGATCGACTCTTTTCCAGAAGCTCGTATCACTTGGTTGAAAGACGGTAGCCCTCTCAGCAATGTGACAGCGGAGATCTCCACCAACCTGAGGCAGATCAGTGAGATCAGGTGAGTCTTCGTCAGCGGCAGCAGGTGTCGGGGTAACATTCCCATGCTTCATCAGCCCTGCTAATGAGGGTTTGGTGCTCCTGTTAGTTCTGACTGGGTGGTTGA